GTATTATCTTTTTATTCTATTCCACAACAGTAACAAATGGAAATAACACCAAACTATAAAATCAGTAAAATGAAGGATTATAATGAATCGTATAAATTAATGAGGAATACTAGGAAAGTATAAGACAAGGCATAGAAGAAACTGATATACATATGGACACAGTGACAAGAAGCTATAATAGCCCTCATACTGTAGAAGACTGATCCTTGGATAAGGAGCCAGGAAAGGCCTTAGAAGTTAAAAGCCAATTATTGATCCAGGGCTTAGTAAGCAAACAACAAAGATCCGTCCCATATAATCACGGCCAGATTGACCCCGAATTCTGACATAAATTTCCCAGAACAACCTTTTTATTGTGAGTAGAGTCTTGAAGCTTTTTATATAAAACACTCTACCCTGTTTCTCCAACAATATGGCCTCCCCCAAGAGGAAGTCCCAGCATGTTTTATAGGCATGAAATGAAATTAAGCCCCTCCCCCCAAATTAAGGCCTATATTAAAACATGCAAAATGGGGGGGGGAATGGTGGGGGGGCTTGCCATTAGGAAGTATTTTTGTTGCACACCTAGATTTGGTGCTGCCTGCGTTGACCCCAATACGAAGTGCCCCACCAACGCCGAGGTCAACATCCAAGCCGTCGCCACCCGCCCACCCAAAGATGCAAGAGGGGGAATTAAGTCACCCCCGAAAAGACGGCCTAGCCATTTTTTCAGGGCTCAAAAAAAAATAAGACCCGGACTTATTATATGAGAAACACGGTATCTGGAAGTAACTTAGCAGAGGAAACAATATCCATATCCTATGAGTTCTTTTGACAGCTTGTCAAATCCTGCCCTAAACATTCAGATTGCTTCTTCAACTCTGATCAAGGTTCTAAATTGGCTCTGGGCCTCCTATCCTGGGAATTTGATTGTAAATGGACTTTTGCACTCTATAAAATATATTTTTATATAGCTCCCTGGTTATATATTAATTGCTGGGAGAGGTTTTAATACACTGAAATGTTTGCTTCAACTCTGCTAAACCCTCTAGGTTAGACATAGCCTAAACTATGGGAATTACCTCATAGATTCTTTACAGTTCATTCAGGCAATAAAGAAATATGTTCATGTTATTTTCCATCTTATATATAGGACCCAAGCTATTAAAATTTAAACTGAAACATGGCTCAAGCTTTCTTAGGTCTATATAGTACACTGTTAAAGGATTTAAAGGATTCTTTTAAAGTTTTACTTCAAATATAAAACATAAGAAACCTAATTCTTATGTACTTCTTTTACAATTGTGCTGGTGACATTATATATAGATTTCTCTTTCAAGATTTCAGCTAGTCAAAATGCTGTAATCTCATAAATATTCTGCTCTACTTTTTCTCTTACGTTAAAAGAGGCTTATAATTTTGTTAGATAATTTACTGGTATGTGTTCATATAATCTGTTTCTCACAAACACACATAACACATCTGCACACCCACCTATTCTTACACATAGATTTAGGCATCTGAGCATTTAATGATTAGTGAGTAATTGGCGCATATTTCTAGATGCTCAATAGCATATCCAGATAAAATTCTTTACCACCATTTCTCATTGGGACTCCAACCTCCTGGATGTCTGTACTTTTTTCTCTTGCTCTCAGTTTTCATCTCTCCTGCTTCTTGGATAGCAGTGAGAAAAATGAGACTGCATCAAGTAACATTGTCTCCTTGGGTGGCTGAATTGCAATTCCCATGTGCTTTAATCTCAGCAAAATCACTGTCCTCTGTGTAGCAATTAAGGTGAGAAAAATAATTCCAATGGGTGCCATGATGTACCACTAACAGCTTTTTTCTTCATACTACCTGGTATGTTTGTGTGCACATGTATATAGTGTGGAGGTGGGGAGAATATATATATGAGTAGGGAAGGAGGAACTGCCTGCTAATAATTTTTCCTTGAAAGAATTTATAGAAATGATTGTCTCTCCGTGATTTAAACCACCAGCCCAATCTTTACATTTATACAATCCACTACATCAAGATCAAAATGTTTTGAAAACCAACAAACAAACTAGGGGGCAAGCAATATGGTATTTTTGAAAACATGGTGTATATGATCCCAATAGAATATTTTTTTTAAAAAAATAATGGGCCTAAATATTAGATATTTTGGCCATTAGATAGAAAATCAATATGGCACCTAAACCAGAAACTATCTGTGTTATTCTTGAAAACCCTGCTTGAATTTGATTCATAGCAGCCATGGTGGCGCAGTGGTTAGAAAGCAGTATTGCAGGCTGACTGCTCACTGCCAGGAATTAGATCCTGACTGGCTCAAGGTTGACTCAGCCTTCCATCCTTCTGAGGTCACTAAAATGAGGACCCAGACTGTTGGGGGCAATATGCTGACTCTGTAAACCATTCAGAGAGAGCTGTAAAGTATTTGAAGCGGTATATAAATCAAAGTGCTAAGTGCTACTGCTATAGCAGCTGCATGAGCCTTTCAAAAGACACAAAGCTTAAAACTCTGTTTTATTGATCCAAGGAAAGATGAATTGTTCACATGTATTTTCTTTTGAATACTTTGCATAGCTCTCATATATATTACCTAAATGCAACATTATGGCAAATGTAATGCTATGCTAGCTCCTATAGAATAAATGAATTCTGCACAGAATAGTGCCGGCACAGCAGCACTATGCTTGAGAATGTCTGGTCACCAGTGTAACAGCAAATAAGGTAACCAGTGTCTGGTCATCAAAATTGTGAGGAAGCAGCAATGCTTGACAATCCATACAGGATATTATACTGGCATTGTGGATCTTTACATCAAATACTCTAGATCAGTGGTGTCAAACTCACAGCCCATGGGCCAGATGCGTCACACACTGGCTATATCCATGCCTGGTTTAGCGAAGGGGGGGAAAGTCGTGATATGTCATGTGCCGATGCCATAATGACGTGAGTGTGACACCCCTGTTCTAGATCTTGTGTTCTACTCCTGCAGTTTTGCTGACTAAACTTCATTTTGTTGTATAGTAGATCAAACTTGGCTAAGATTTATAGAAATTGTAACAGCAATAAGACTACCAATTGCTTAAGTTCTATTACATATTTGTTATATTTAGGGCATGATCCTTGATAAGAGTCAAATGATATATAATCATTTTGTTCTGGCTCATATATTAAAAGTAGCATAACATGGAATTTGAATAAAATAATATTCAGCATGGTGGAAGATACAGATCTACTATATTTCACCATGTAACTGCTAAAGTCGATAGTGTAGGAATATGTGATTCTCAGGCCAAACAGAGGCATTATATAAGCAAATGGCCATCAATCTTGAGAACAAGAAATCAACAAATTTCAATTCACTCAAAAATTCTGGAGTAAAAAAACATAGGAACTAAAACCCGGAGCAGGCATTATATATTAGGCTTAATTTCTATGCTCTATAGAAACTGATCTTCTACATAAGTAGGATTTCTATCTCATCCTCAATAAAGCAAAATATCCAGCTGTATTGTATGTAAGAGTTTCTTCTATGTGGAAATCCCTGAATACAACTGGAAAACTGAGATTTACTGCTGAGCATAGAGTGAATTTTGACTCTCTGCTCTAAGATGAAACAGACTGGTATGAAATGAAGCAGGAAGAATAGAAAAGGTAGCAATATAATTAATTAGATAGTATTTTTCACTTTTGGTTGTTTTCATTAATCTCTGCTTGAAAAAAAAGAGGTAATAAAGGATACTTACACTGGGATGTGTTCAAAGGCATCTTCAAAATTTTCCTGCAAATCAAATAAAAATAAATTATTAGAAAATGCATTATCTTCCTATAATTCAGAAGGCGTATTGGCAACTATGAATTATCTCTAGATCTTAATGCCTAACCTGACTATTCATTTAGGTAGGAAGTAGCAATCAGCGATATGGTTCCCTCTGCTTGTCAGCCAAAGCCTGAAAAGTTGCACAAAGTAAAATCCTCTAGTCAACTGGTAGAGCTCCGTCTACGATTTGCTTAGCAGTAGTAGTATAACTTTATGATTAGTCAATTGACCACATCAAAACAATGGGTGTCAGCCAGAATAGGTTACAATAAAATGAGATGAAGGGTAAGATATAATAAACATAACAGAGTGACATAAAATAATGCAAGATTAAAGTAGAATTTGGACACATAAGTATTAAAGTACAAAACATTACGTCTTCAGTACAAAACTAGGAAATCTTCAGCCTTATTTCAGTGACTGAATAATGCATTTAATTTCTGTCACTGACACTTGTGGCCAAGGAGAGAAGTTATCAGGGGTCAGAAATTTAATAGCCATTTTTGCTGGCTGATACAACTTTGGGTTGGCAAATAAATTAATGTAAACATAAATATAAACATCCTCCAAAACTGAAGCTGAGATGGAGATATTAAGGAGAAGCTTTTGCTCCTTCAGCATGCTGGATATGATGTTCCAAAATAAGACTGGGGATGTTTTACATTTACCTCTAGGACTGTCTTTTCTAATTGCACCCTGATGTTGGGTAAGAAATTTCAAGACGAATATGGGAATAAGTATAAATTTAGCAGCATAACTTCAGATGGTGTATATTTGAATTGAATAACAAGAAAATAGAATGGCATCCATTTCATAGTCATCATAATAATTATGTGACATAATAACTCATATTATCAATCAACAATTATATATCCTAATATCATTATTAAACAATCATTTGACTATAATTTTACTAATTCGTACTTAAGCGAGATAACTGTAATTTAGTTACTTTATTTTATAACAAATCATTAAATCATACCAAAAAGGAGTGGTAAACCAACCGATACACTGTCTGTAAATATATGAAGAATGGTGATGTTTTTTATGTTACGTTTTATGTTTTTTGTGTTTTTGTTTGTCGTTAAAACCAATAAAAACTTTTATTTAAAAAAAGAAAAGAAAATAGAATGGGTCTTCACTGGAAAAAAAAATCCTGCCTTTGCCAGCCCAACTCTGCCTTAGCAAGTACACACAATCCTCCTGAGGCCTGCTCTTCTATCTTGACTTTACATACACAGACCAGGATCTAAAACCTAGCGTCTTCATTACCAGTAGTCAACCATGTCTTTTAGAGTGATATGTCAAACTTGAAGAACAACAGAATTATATCTGATGTTTGATTTTTCCATCTGGTTATATGACATGTGAATAGCTGGATGAAGCTTTCGTGCTTATTGTCAGAAGGGATCGCTGGCAATGTGCTAAGGCATGTGGTTGAATGCTGTGTCTCATGGAGTCATTCTGTAGGTAAGATGAGTTTCAAAATCCCTTCAGTATCTAGAATGGCACACTGTTTGAAATTTGGAATGCCTTTGCTGCTCCATTGCTATTGTATGGGGCCAGGTAGGTTGCAAGATGACCTGCAGACCAGAAGATGAACATTAGCAAATAGTTGTTTTGTTCTATATAAATGGCCAGAAGGGTTGTCTCAGTTCTGTGTGGTGATCTTCTTCCTAACCCAGAAACTACCTTTGACATAATTCCCTCTAATTCCTGGAGCTCAGGTTTGTCTGGAGACCTGGAAAGCATAACAGTTATTGGATGTGTTTGTCTGCAAACATTCATCTCATATTCCTGGTGTGACTTGCCATCCAGCTGTTCCCAGGGTTTTAGACAATCAAAACCTTCCTCTTGTCTGTCAATAGAATTTCACTTTTTGTTCTTTGGAGTTTCCAAGTGTGGTACTGTTTTGGGCTAGGGTAGAGAGGATTAGATCTGCTCCAGGGGACTTTGTGTTGATAATCTTCATGTTTATGTTTCAATAAGGTAGGAGAAAGGGGAGAGATGCCAGCGACTTCTTTCTCAAAACAATTACGATTGCCTTGGGTAGTTGGTAAAACAAAATCAGTTAATGGTTTGGCTGCTTTGCATTTTGCCACCAAAACCTGACTGGGCAGTGAAAGAGTTACCGTATTTATCGGCGTATAACACGCACTTTTTTCCCTCTGAAAATAGGGGGCAAATGATGTATGCGTGTTATACGCCGATATAATGTTAAGAAGCCTTCGGTGAATGCTGCTGGGATCGGGGATCAAGGACACAAATGAAAGAAGGGGAGGGAGGAAGCAACCGAAGCCTGTCCTTCTCTCTGGGTCAGCTCTCTCAGTCGCTCTCTCGCTCCTCCACCAGCACAGGAAGAAACTGCTTCAAAGAAGCGGGGGGGGGGGGCTTTTCCTGTCGCCGCAGCTTCCCTGAAGCGCCCGTTTCTCCCCCACCCCCACCCCGTCCGCCCGCCCGCCCGCAGTGCTCTGTTCTGCCTGCCTGCCTGCCTTCGTTAATGGTTGAATCGGAACAGCTTCGGCTGAGTAAAAGAGGCGAATAGTTATTATTCTCAGCCGAAGCTGCTCCCAAACAACCAGAAACTAAGGCAGGCAGGCAGGCAGGCAGAATGGGACACTGTGGATTGAAGCGCGCGCGCGGGGTGGGAGTGGGGGTGAAACGGGCGCTTCGGAATAGCTGCGGCGACAGGAAAAGCCCCTCCCCCCCGC